CATGGATTAGAAGGTCAAAAAAATGAGTCATGGATTCTAGGGTTAACTTTACGAAAAATTATTGAAATTTTCTAGTCAACGAAATAACACTTTTTAAATCAAAAAATTCTTCTCTATAATAATTCATATATTTATACAATCATTTTTTAACAATTTGCCTTAACAATATTGAAAATGTAGATTTTTGCGCTTTCGGCGTTTCTTTATATTTTTATTACTTTTATTTTCCACTTATATATCCTCTGATATTTTATTAGTTATTTTTCTACTTTCGTATGTTATTCTTTTATATAAAACGACCTTAACTCATAATTTTGCATAAATTGTATTGAGACTTTAAAACTTTAAATGACTCCCGATATGGCATCGCCAAGCGCTAAAGCGGCACTTCATGCCGCGATTAATCATTGCCTTCGTTAGTCTCAGATACCTGGAATCGCGAACTAATTAACATTCGCGGTTATTCTCGCGCACGTTATTTGTGTCGTCGTCGACGTAATCGATATTGTCTGTCTTGAGTCGATAATCTTTCGCCATATAAAGCTACATTACCGGCGCGCGAGTTTCCTCTTATTTACCGGAGTTAGCTGCTCGGACCGGAATTACTCGAGTCGCCACTGGTCCATTCATTCGACTGATGATGTAATTGCAGCCGTACTACTACGTGCCCCGCTGAATTGGACGGACAAAAGCAGGGTCGTCGGTGCGAGATGCATCATCGGTGATGCAACTGCTGTTACGATGCTATTTTCGCGTTTCGTCATCAATCTGAAAATTTCTCGGGATTTTTTGGAATTTTTTTGAAATGTTTTGTCTGCAATAGAACATTTTCCGTTTATTTAAAATATTTTGTATGAAAAATTCAAGAAACTTACGTATTTCCTTTTGCTTATAACTTTTGGGTTTAATAACAAAAATTTAGCATTTTAAATATATATGTTCAATTCATCAATTTAAATGTATTAATTTTATCATAAAAAATATTCATTTATCTATAATTCACATTAATTTTATGCAATTAATTAATATTACATATTGATGTCGTTAATTAGTTTAAATAAGAAATTATCACAATTCTTGCAAAAACTGGTGAGAGATACATATTCTGCATAACATTTTATAATAAATAACAACATGATGATATTGCAAAAAGTTTTTCCAATATTAGCTTAGCTTATCTCTTAGACCTAGAATATATGTTACTTTTTCTTATCATTCGTATAAATATTCACAGAAATTTATACTGAGGATTTCAGATTGATCGCCGACGGACATTGGCAATTCAGACAAAAGTCGAAGCCTTGAACTTGGACTCGGGGAGAGGACGAATAACAAATGTGATACGATCGCCACGACTCGGTCTAGTGACTCACTTTCGCGAGTCAAGGATGCGATGATTCTTGTCGAAGCGCGATCTCTCGGGAAGTCGTAAATCGCCGATTACCCAACGATGTTCGTAATGTTTTGCTGCCTACCAGGAAGCGGCTTCCAATACCGACAAAATATAACGAAGATATATCTCAGTGTAAGCAGTGATCGTGTGAGAGCAAAATTGGATCTCTCGAAAATAGAATCGACTCATCTATGAAGTGGAATTAAAACATTCGTCACTTCCGGAAATATT